CTTCGCTGGAGGGAGTTTATAGAAAACTTTCTTCAAAATTTTTCTGAAATTTTGACGCATACTGAATTTGATAGAGAACTGCAAGGGCTATCCAAATCACTATTCGGATTTGACCTAGCCACTCGACTTCATCGAAAAATTTCAAAAACACAGTGGCTCTACAATTTTTTCCAGTACTGTATTTCCATAACTCCACGAGTGTAAGAGAGAAATTCTGGTACAGTGTAGATGTCTGATTTTAAAGAAAGGGAGACATTTCTGTTACAGCACTAAAATTCTCGTTGGAAAAGGAGACTTCCAGGATTTCGCACATTCGTCCACTCATCAGTCATCTGAATCGATGAAACCATGCTGTATCTTGAATATTTTAGTGTCGCTCAAACATTTTTTCGTTTGGCGTTTGGGATAAATTATCAGTCCTGTAACTCATAGCCTAAGTTGTAAAAGTTTCTTAACCTTAACACAACTTATTTGGCTTGACCTGCAGTGCTCTAATTTGCAGCCCCGTCGTCTAAACGTGCAACAATGAGTAACGATGACACGCGCAAAGGCGCACATTTTTGTTTTTATGTAAGTGGATTAAACGAGCTGTAAAATAAGACCACGGCTTGTTGTGCACACGATTGAGAGAAAAAGACTGCTAAATTCGTGTTTGACACTTTATTGGACGTTACTATACGTACATAAAAGCCGATTAAATCAACTTACCCAGTCAACTGTTCTATTGCCATTCTCGATTGTTCTTTGATCTTCTGTTGTAGAAGTCATATTCAAAGTAGAAAAAATAGTAAAACAGCATGGAGAATTTTATTTAAAAATCAAAATTCATTTCTTTTTTTCAAAATATCGTTTACATCTGTTGATTCTTTTTGTTTTCGTTTTGTTTGTGTTAGACGAAGCCAACAGAAAAAATTATTTTAAATCAGAGTAAAACACTGTGTATCGTTGTGTTGTGTGTATTAGTGCAATGAGTTGTTCTGTATAAGCTGAAAAATACTCAGCAAAAGTTTCTCAGGTGAAAAAAAGTCCTTCATACGTTTTTACATTGTCTTGATTCAGGCAATCAAGATAATATAAGAATATTCAATTTTTTAAGTTATAAAATATTATATGATTGCATTTATAAACCATATAGAGAAGGTAATTTAAAAGAATGAATAATATCTAGCACGATAATGATCAGACGTATTCTTTCTTTCCTATCTCGTTTGTATTTGTACCTATACTGTACGCATGCGTGCACGTGTTCTGCAAGGTGACTAAATATTTTTAAATATTTTTGGGTATTCAAAATTAACCTATTGATTATTAAAATTTATTACAATTACTGGTCATTTTTGGAAGAAATATGACCTATGAACTAAAGATGAGATGATTATCGAAAGTACCGCATATCTTTCGCTATACGTGATAGTGATGTGTATTCTTTCGTTCTGTTCTTTAGGCGGAGTTTATGTTGCCTCGCGTACAAAACTCTCGTTTGAGCTTGTTGAAAAATTTATGGGACAAAACTTTTCAACTTTTCGGGATTTTAACGCTAAACATGTACAATGGAACTGTGCGAACAATAATACTAGTGGAACACAGCTGAAGAATTAGTTAATAAATGGTGGATGTGAAATGGTACATCCACTTGAACCGACGTCAAAAAGATCTGAAGCAGTAATTGATTTTGCAACCACTACTCTTGACGTCTGACTTATCAGCAGCAGAAGAGAAATTAGAGGTACCACTCCATGTACAAATATTAGCAAAATGTGCATTTAGAATTCTAGCTTTACTCTGAACATCTTCCTTGACATCTCAATCCTTATCTTTTAAAGCTGGAATTGCTGTCGTACGATCACGACCCATTGTATATTTAATAAGAAATTTGACAACAGATTGTTCGTAGTTATTTTTGTTAAATAGTGTGGATTTACTAATCATTTTACGACATTCTTACTAGGGGTGGCACTTTCCCGTTATCGTTACTGTAACGGGTAATAGAAACCCGTTACCTGTTACAAGTAACGGCAACGAAAATCCGTTACCTGTTACCGGTAACGGGTAATGGAAATCCGTTACTGGAAATCCGTTACTGGATTTTTGTCACCGTTACTTGTAACAGGTAACGGATTATCGTTCCCGTTACTAGTAACTAGTAACGGAAAACTGTTACTTTTCGGAGTAAAGTAACGGGAAAGTGCCACCCCTAATTCTTGCTTTACCTTTATGTAAGATATGAAGGTCATCAGAGAACCAAATTTTATCCCTTGGCTTTAGGGTAATGACTTTGTGCGGTATTACTCGATTGACCTGTTCAAGGAGAATCTCTTCAACTGCTACTGCTTTTTCACCAATGTTATTATAATTTCGTAAGAGAGTAGCAAATGGGATCCTACCACAAATATTGTTCAGCAGCTCCCAGTTTGCGGCTTTATTTCGTCATGTTGCGATAGATAAGAAACAGATAACAAAAGCGTTTATTTATAAATATCATGTGACTTTTTTGTTCTTTCTTGGCATTCTCCACCACTATGACTTCATTAAAAGATTTAATTTTGGCCTATTAAACTTAAGACAAAACCACGACTGTGTGAAAACAACAACTTTATCATATTCATCGAAAGCTAAAGAAGATGTATATCATCTAGATGAACTTATCTTTGTACAAGGTATTTGTTCATTAATTATGGGTGACACCCCAGGGTATTGGGCATGGTTGGATTCATCACTTCAGAAATTACTGGATGATCAGACAAGTAGAATTGATATGTTACCTCAATATCCTGACTATAATGAGTTATCGACAGGAAATAATGCATAATATCGTCTTCAAGACAGAGCCATTTCTGTGCAGATTACCACACGTCCTGTTGCTAAAAAAAGAAGTTTGAAAGGATACTCTAGGAAGGGTGTTTACCGACAAAAAAGAGCGAAAGATGCCAGAGGATGGTTTTTCGTAGATATACCCTTTCTGAATGATTATGAAAAGAATTGTTAGAAAAATGGGAATCAGAAGAAGATAAAATATATTCAAAAGAAGGGATTTATTGGGAATTACACTCAAAATACCCCAGAAAATTGGTAATCAAAGTGCATTGAAAGAAATTAAAGAATTATAAAAAATGTTAGCGACTGATCTCTTTTGCTCAGAAAAAGTTAACTTGCATTACAATCATGACTGTCGTTGGCTATGAAATTTGAAATAGAGAGTGGACTTATTTCGACAACAAATTCGAATAGACGATACTTTTTCCTTCAACATGAGAGGTTCGCGAGCTTCGCGCGTCATTTCATTACACAGACAAACATATCCGGATCAAAATACATGCCACTTTTATATAGTAAGAAAGCATAGAAGGTTTGAACAAGTGAGTCTCATTACTTTAGTTCATTATCCTCTATCGATCCGCAGGTAAATCACTGAAAATTTTCTTAATCAAACACATTGTTCTTGAGAATGTTATAAACCATTTCACATGTTTCATTGCATATACTCATTGCACATGTTTTTCTTTTGACCTTAAATCTATTCTTTGTGTAGAATATAGGTAAATGCCTATGTTGTGAAGTATATGATAACGATAGAAGATAAGAACAGTTAGAAAAAAGCATAGGTTATTGTCTATATTTGCTCACTTTATCTCTTTTCTCACTAAATGGAGCGTGTCTCTTATTACATTCAATCCACTGCATTACATACAAGTATAACGAATAACTGAAACTGGTAAGCGGTAAAGTTAGATTCTATATTCGACATCATTATTCAGTTCGGTCTACCTAGCGCATCCGTCATTCAACGTGAATAGAAATGCCACTAAGTCCAAAAGTACAAATAAAATCGAATGGAATCCACGGGCATTCCTGGTTTGCGTCAGCCGATATAAACGTAAATGAGTCTGTCTGGTGGAATAATACGCCACATTCCGAACTGTTCTTAACACGTAAAGAAATTGCTGCATTACCTAATGATAAACGTTTGAAATTTCTTAGCTTATGTTATCAAGTATCAGATGATTTATATTCTGGTTTTGATCCGGATGTGGAACCGCTTGAATCTGAATTAATTGACAGTTACGTAAATCATTCGTGTGATGGCAATATCTGGTTCGCAAATCCTGATCTTTTGGTTGCTAGCAGAGATATAAAGAGTGGAGAAGAGATTGCGTATGATTATGTAATGACACAAGCAGATCCAGAGTGGAGATTGGCTGAAAAATGTTTGTGTAAAGCAAAAAATTGCCGAGGTAACGTAACGGGAAATGACTGGAAAATAAAAGAATTACAAGAAAACCTGAAAGGGCACTTTTTTCCTCATGTACAGAAGAAAATTGATGAGGCAGCTAAGCAAGAGAAACAATGATTGTTTATGCAGTAGTCAAATAATTTTAAAACTCATAACACGTTTCTATTACATAAAATAACTGCTGTGACGACACGAAGTATGTGGAGAATACAAGGAATAAATTTGTGCCATCCAAGATGCCGTAATGGTAGTGAATGCCTTTAATAACTGAATTAAATCATCTTTTTCCACTTTTGAATAAAATGATTATATTCTCCATAGGTGATAACCTCTACTATCCAAGTTTCAACTCGACTCGGGAAACGTGCTGCCACTGATTGATTGCAAACATGATCATTCTTTTCCGCAGAAGAGTTGAATGCCTTTTAGCGCATATTACTTCTATTAGGATATCACAAAGCTTTTGAATGGATGAACCAACGTTTTATAACGCACTTCAGTAGATATGCTATTGAACAATGTGCCCTTCTCCTTATTCTTAGAGTATTTTTCGCTTATACGGTCAAACCTGAAACAGAACAATCTACGAGTAGGAAGTATTCAGACAGTATAACAGTAAACAAACAAAATTTCTCATCACAAAGGAAATTAGTGTTTTGTATCATGAACTAACGAGGGAACTTCCCGAGGTCTCCATCGAGTTTAGAGTCCATCTTTTGGCCATAATTAGACCCCGATGAAGTATGAAAAAGCTGAAAAGGATTTGGGCCCTAAGGTGTTTCTTCCCAAGATATTGAATTTTCAAGATATTGTATAAGGAAACGAGAATCAATGGTTGCTTTTTTGAGAACAGCGGAACATCAAAAGTTGAAACTTTTTTTCCTGTTTTATGCCGTACTTATCCGACCTGATCTGAATTTAGAGCTAGATTTGAGTGTATTTATAACGATTTTGTTCTCTGTTCATGAGTCCAAAGAACACCTAAAAATTTTCATTTGATTTCTGATGCCATTTAAAACAACAGTGATCTTTCTGGAAAAATCAGTGAAAATGTTAGTTCAAGAAAAAATGAGTGAACACACTGATTTCTGACACCAGCTGCAGCAGATGAAAGGTGCCGCGTCACAGGATGAGACAACAACATCGGAACGTCCAACGAGAAGCAAACTTCGGCTACTGTTTTGAAGGGTCTTAGATTGGTGCCTGTATAACCACCAGCGTACCGAGCGTATTGAATCATTCGATGAAAAGTTTCGGATGACAGTTGATTGTGAGTCAGAGATATGAGACGAATGATATTATTGCACTCCCGAACTTGATTCATCTCCTTACACAGATCGCATTGCCTCCTATCTATAGCCGTGTCTGCTCCACTCAGTACTAGTACGATCAGTCTTATTTATATTACTTGTCGAAATAATAACATTGAAATTGGTTAAAGAACTCTGAAACAATGACACCGGTGGGCACCGCCAGAGTGAGCCAAATGGCTCAATTCTTTATTTACGATGAACATTGAGTGCAGATTCTATGACAGAAAAGATGACCTTTAGTTCGCCCAGCTCGTTGCCCTGTGCATGCCACATTAGCGTTCCGTTATTGCACATATGGCATTTTGCTTTTAGAAAACTACAACCTGTAATTTCTGCTGTTTTTCGCATTTTCCATTCTAAAATGCAAAAGAGCGTGCCTCATTTTGCATTTTAGAATCAAAAAGAGACGAATTTGCATCTCGAAATGTCGTATTTTGAACATAAAAGCTGCATTTTTTTTGCTTTTTGAAATACAAAATGCAAAACCTCTTATAGTTTTTCAAGGTTCATTATTTCATGAAAGGACGGGGGTCGATAAGAGCCAAAATCGACCCCTTCTCAGATCGGTCTCATATTCACAGGCCTGATGTTGTTTTACTCCGTGATTAAAACTAACATGTTAGAAAAACTATGTTGTTGGAGATCGGAGATTGTTGTCTAATGGACATCAAAGACAGCCAGCAGTAGACTTTAGGCTGGATCTATAGAATATAATTTTGAGGTACATATCTATATTTTCATGAGCATGCACTTGATTAAGAGGGTGAGGAGTGAAAAAATGATTTTTTCATTGACTGATGAGGGAAAATTTCGCTGACGAGTCTCTTCTGAATACAGCTTAATACTATATTGAACAATGTTTTCATGGAATCGGAGAAGTTCGCAGCATTTCTGAAGTGTATATATTGAACCAGCCAGGTTTAGTTAAAACTAATACCAAGCCAGTACTATGACAGTACTTTATTATAATTTAATGTAATTTCTGACTCATAAGGCAAAGCAGTAAAAGCAATTACTTCTTTTTTATGATTAACAAAGCACGTTGGCACATCGGAATGTTGAATAAAATGGTTTTCAACCGCTATCGGACCCGAAAATTTTGCCACTACTTCACCAGCTGCGATCCTTTCGAGAGCATGTAGTGAACGAATTTTCGGATCAATTGTTGTACGTGTAAAACATTTGCCTGAATACCATTTTGATTCTAATTCTCGTATACGCTGTTGTAAATAAGGACTCATGTACATGAGATATTTCTCTTGAAATTCAGGATCACGATATCGATCAAAATTGAGAACGCCAACACATGATTTAGTTTCACATTTACACTGCATACCACGGGTGAAGGATGGTTCTGTCTCAAGAAAATTATAATCGTATGTCAATTCTTCACCGGGTTGAATTGTTTTTAATGCAACAATGTTATTTGAATCGGATATATCAAAACCTAAAATATCAAAACAGAGACAAAAAAAACAAATTACAATCAGATAGACTGCAGGAACGACATTAATACATACCGCAGTTTGGTTCACAAGAATGATTGAATAAACAGCATTCATCATTATTTCGTTGTTCGCAATATGTCTTTGGTATGCAATATATATCATCAGCAATCATATACGAATACCAGTAGAGAAATTTTTTCAAATGTGGATAATCAACACATAACGTTAATATTTCATCACGCGACAATATTTCATCATCATCACCACATGTACACCACCATATCTTTTCGCCTTTTTCAATGACTTCGTTAGCTACAAGCATTCTTTGACCATCACCATATTTTTCACTAGCATCAACCAGGTGAATAAAGACTATACGCAAATTATCTATGTACTTTATTAAAATTTGATAAGTTGAGGTTAAACATGACACAAATCTTGAACAATTTCATTGATTTGAAAAACACCATTACTATGAAAACACAACCAGTTTGTTAGATAAAAGTTAAAATTAGAATAAAACAGATTGTAAATTTTAGAAAATATATTAGTAAAATACTCACGTTATAGAGTAATGTGGTTTTCTTTTACCTCCTCTGTTACAAATGGATGCGGTTAGGTTAAAATTATACTCTGTTACATATAAAGAAATATTTTTGTCTTTCTTTTCGTCATTCACCTTTTTCCAGGCATTGCGTGTGGACTTTGTTCAGTTTACGTACCTACGCAGGTTCCGGAACGGCATGCTAGAGATAAACAACCAGGCTATATATACATGTTGTGCTGAGATTGTTCTGAAAGAGCGTATAGTGAAAATGACATATTTTCCTGTTAGGTTTCATCTAACTTGTTCAAATCTTGACTTGTATTATCGGTTTATTAAGAAAGAAAAAGCACTGTCTCTAGTACAGTATATGCCTGGGTAGGCGAGAAAGAAGGCGAAGTCTGTATAGACGAGAGAGAAGGAAAGAAAGTAAGAACGTAACAGAAAAACATGATGTAATATATACAATGGTGTCACAGGATGGCATGATGAGATAGTGACTATATGAAATACATTTCCTGGAAAGGAAATGTTCCTTTTATATAATCACGCAGTAGTACAGTGACGTTGCAGTATCTCTGTCCACCTTAGGTCTCGTGACCTAACATATGTACTCTGAATCTTCGTCCACTAATATTTTGACTGTGAACATAAAAGAGTAGAAACTTCTTTACTCATAAAAGGATAATAGTGAAACTTGGTTGAACTTCCAGCTAGCTATTGCTATTGAATCCAGAGGAGACTACTGATAGTCCCTGTAGATTTAGATTTATATCTTTTAAAAGATTATAATCCGAAAACAATAGCTGTAACAAGACCATGGCCTTCTATTTGGCTTTCAAGTCATGTAATCGGCAGTTGTCTTCTAATAGAGGATGGTCTTTTATTATGGGGGGGTTAGTTTTCTATATCAGTTTGAATACATGAATTGTACATATTTCTACAATGAAGAATACATCAATCACAGCAAAAACGCAAATGCACGCGTGCATGAAATAGCCTTGTGAATCACAAAGAGTGTTTGTCTTTGTTTATTATTCTTTGCATTCATACTTGAATCACAAAAAACTGTATATGTAGAAAACAACAAAACCAATTTAAAACTGCAAAAAGTATATATTCTGACGACGCAAAAGTTTCAAGGCATATGCTCTATGCCAGCTATTGAAGTACCGAGATTATCATGAGGGTTGAGTAAGCTACTACCAGAGATCGAGGGTTTAGCAAGCTAGGAACGTTCGCACTAGCTCTGCGCCGTATCGATGCTTTCAACAGTTTCCAGCAAGTTTTAATATTAACTTGAATATTATTAGGTTTTGCAAAATACGCCTTTTTCTCATATTCACATGATTAAAAGATATTTCAGATACTGGACGATAGAGAACATAATATTTAGTGCTGTTGGTGTGTTTAATCAATCATATTTGTACATATTCGAAATCAGTGCGACGAGTTACGTTGTGCGGCGCAAAGATCTCGTCGGGGTCCCGACAGTTTTTGGATTCGGATTCTCCATTGTGGATTTTCACGGTATACTATACTATATTCAGCCAAAGGCATCAACAATGCCGCTTTTCTCCCGTTCCCTTCAATGTAGCATTTTTGTTTCGTTTAATGTTTTTTCTTTCTATGCACACTACAGAAACACATATAAAGCAAGAAATGGAGCAAAGAACAAATTTTATCGTTATTTTTAACCACAAAATTTCTTTAATTTTATCGAATAGAAGGATTCTACTCAGTATGAAAGTGTTTATTCTGGGAACTTCCCAGATTAAAAAGCTAACAAATCTGAAGGGACCCCTCTCCAGTTTTTCTGCCAGTTTGTGGTACATAACTCGTACCCTATACCATGCTATTTTTTAGAAAAAGGTACCGCTAAGTTTTTTAGTTATAAGGCTGCCAATACCACAGCTGTATAGGCTGCCAAAAAGGAACCGTTTAAACAGTTAAAATAGCAAAAATAGTTAAAAGCTTGCTACTATCCATAGTCAATATCTTCTTGAAACAGGTATTAATAATCAATGAATAAGAGTGTTAAATGATGAATAATAACTACTCATCCATTGCCGTTACATTAGTCATTGTATAACGTACATTCGAAAGGTGTATAACAGTTGATATTTGCTCTGGATGAAATAGGTTGAATAATGTAAATACTTTGAGAAAACGTCGCTTAACGCGAGAAGACTTTTTTGCTAAAAGGTTTGCACGGGCACCGAGAAGTACCACTTGTGTATTTCAAACTGCTAGAAAAACTAGAGAGGGTACGAGTTGGTATAGGGTACGAGTTATGTACCACAAACCGGCAGAAAATCGGGACAGGGGTCCGTTCAAATTTGCAACTTTTTAAAATAGTGTTAACTGATGAGTAATAACTACTCATCCATTAGCGTTAATTCGTCATTGTATAGCGGGATTGTATCATTTCTGTGCACAGATATAAAGCTAGAAATGGAGAAAAGAACGAATTTTATCGTTTTATCGAAAAGAAGGATTCTACTCAGTATGAAAGTGTTTACTCCGGGAACTTCCCAGATTAAATTTAATTCCGTTTTCTGCCGGTTTGTGGTACATAACTTGTGCCCTATATCATGGTATTTTTTAGAAAAAGGTACCGCTAAGTTTTTTAGTTATAAGGCTGCCAATATCACAGCTATATAGGTTGCCAAAAAGGAACCGTTTAAACAGTTAAAATAGCAAAAATAGTTAAAAGCTTGCTACTATCCATAGTCAATATCTTCTTGAAACAGGTATTAATAATCAATGAATAGGAGTGTTAAATGATGAATAATAACTACTCATCCATTGCCGTTACATTAGTCATTGTATAACGGTATTCTATAATTTCTATGCACAGATATAAAGCTGTCTCATATCGTGCCCCCGTCCCTTGTTTTTTCTTCATTTCTTGCTTTATATCGATTTCTATATTCACACAGAAGGTGCACTGACAGCGACATTGACAGCTTTGTATCTAAAAAACTAGATTGTACTCTTAGCTAAAAGACAGCTCGGCACAGAGTACCACCCGAGTACCACAAATTGCCAGAAAACTGGAGAGGGGTCGCTTCACATTAGTTAGTTTTTTAATCTGCGAAGTTCCCAGAATAAACACCTTAGGGGAGAGGGGACCCCTCTCCAGTTTTTCTGCCAGTCTGTGGTAGATAACTGTTTAAACAGTTAAAATAGCAAAAATAGTTAAAAGCTTGCTACTATCCATAGTCAATATCTTCTTGAAACAGGTATTAATAATCAATGAATAAGAGTGTTAAATGATGAATAATAACTACTCATCCA